GGTCGTGGAGATCCCTTGGAGGCATCTGCCTTGGGAGGAGGAGAGTGGCCAAGGCCGTCTGTGCCTGAGTTTCTCTCACTTGTTCCATCAGCCCTCGTACTGGTGTGGGCGCCCCAGGACTGTGGTGGGAAAAGAGAAGGAGGAGGAGGAGGACCCCGAGAAAGCTCTGAAGAGCCAGTACATTGAGGAGGAACCTGCCGACCTTGTGTCAGGAATCAAAATAAAGCACCTTTCCAAGGTACTGACTGCCCAGCCGCAACACATCATAATGTTGGTTTTGTAGAAACTGCTGCCTGCAGGCAGCTCCCTTTTCCTTTCGCTGCCCTCTTTGCCCAGGGCTGTGTTACTTGTCTGCTGTGTTAAAAGTTTATCTGCATTTAACCTGAATTAGACCAGTTGTCTTAATGCCAACCTGAGCGTTGTGGGCTTTGGCTGACAAGTGGGGCGGAGGGGGTAGGTCACCTCGAGGGCAGCATCAAATCATTCTCATGCTCTCCTTAGGTCTTCAGAGTGGGAAACAAGACAAAAGAGGCAGTCAAGGACTTAACGGTGAACATGTACGAAGGCCAAATCACCGTCCTGTTGGGACACAATGGTGCTGGGAAGACCACCACTCTCTCCATGCTCACGGGTAGGAGCCGCATCCTGCTGCGGGGCTGGCACATGGCAGGGAAGAGCTGGTGGCTTAAGTTGCAAAGAGGAGCTGAACCCCACCTCTGAGGTCGAGGAGGGGTTTTTGCTCTTCTCTGGAGCACCTTCGACTCGCTGAGCTGTTGGCCAGGGCTGCTGGGGTAGTGAAAGGCACATTGCTGCCTGGGGAGATGGAGGGTGGGGCTCAGCCCTCCATGAGAGTGGTATTGAACAGCATCTTTGTGATGGAGGGCCCTGAGAAAAGAAGGGACCTGTTACAGGGTGAGCGTCTGTAGATTTTGTCATGATAAGGCAGAGAGGACGCAGGACAAGAACTGATCTTCATGATTTAAGAGCCACCAAGCTCCGGACAGCTTCTTTTGGTGTGGTAGTGGGCTTTGATGGTCCTTTCTTCCCTGTTCTTTGTCACTCTGTGCTGCTTCTGCCAGCCAAGGGTGCTCGCAGGACCATCCCTGGAGCTCTGCCCACTCTGGCAGTGCTTCCAGGTCCACCTCCCCCGCTATGGGTGCCACACAGCCCACCCTACCATGCTGCAGCTTGAGCACAAGACTGGCTCGCTCCGAGTTTTGGCAGAAAGCCGTGTGGCAGGGGGCTGCTCAGCAGGACCCCTGCCTTTCCGCTGGCTCTTTGCCACCCCGGAGTTGTCCTCAGCCCCAAGCCGAGGCTGCTGCGTCTCGCTCCTCCCAGGTCTTCGACGGGCGGCCAGGCGTCCATCAACGGCTACGAGATCTCCCAGGACATGGTCCTCATCCGCCGCAGCCTGGGCCTGTGTCCCCAGCACGACGTCCTCTTCGACAACATGACGGTGGAGGAGCACCTCCACTTCTACGCAGGGGTGAGCACGGCACTGGGGTGGTGGAGGGAAGCCTTCCCCATGCCTTCCTGGAGCTGGGGAAGCGTGTTGAGATCCATCAGGCGGGTCTGGAGGAGGCCACAGAAATGATCAGAGGGTGGAACACCTCTGCTGTGGGGAAAGGCTGAGGGTTGAGGCTGTTCAGCCTAGAGAAGAGAAGGCTCTGGGGAGATTTTATAGCCTTCCCGTACTTTGGGAGGGCTTAGAAGAAAGATGGGCAGAGACTTTTTAACAGGACCTGTAGTGATAGGACAAGGGGGAATGGTTTTAAAGTAAAAGAGGGGAGATTCAGACTAGATCTAACGAAGAAATTCATTACAATGAGGTTGGTGAGGCTCTGGCCCAGGTTGTCCAGAGAGGTGGTGGATGTCCAATTCCTGCAGACATTCTGGGTCAGGTTGGACGGGGCTCTGAGCAGCCTAATCTGGTTGAAGATGTCCCTGCTTACTGCAGGGGGTTGGACTAGATAGCCTCTAAAGGTCCCTAAAGCTCAAAGTAATCTATCATTCTATGATAACCAGAACAGCCTTTGCCTCTTCTTTCCACTGCGTCTGTAGACAGGAGCTCCCTGCCTGGCCGGTGCCAAGTCCTTTGAGGTTAGGCAGGAGTCCCTCCATGTGCTTCCCACCAGGAGCCTGGGTGTGGAGGAAGGATCGTGGTGGTGTTTATCAGCCAGTGGCTGATGTGGTGGAGAAGGGTCTTTGCCAGATTCACTTACCCTTGCAGGCAGGGTTAACCCTCCCTTCCCCCCTGTCTGGCAGCTGAAGGGGTACCCACCCTCCAAGTGCCCTGAGGAGATCGACCACATCCTGAGGATCCTCAACCTGGAGGACAAACGTCGCTCTCTGACCAAGGCTCTTTCCGGTGGCATGAAGCGCAAGCTCTCCATTGGCATCGCCCTCATCGGGGACTCCAAGGCAAGTGTCTGTGGTGGGGCTCACGTCAAACCTGTCTCTCTGGAGCCAGCGTAGGTTCTTTAGTGGCTCTGACGTTGTTCCTCACCTGTGGTGAGCCAGGGGATGCAAGGACAGTGAGGAGGGAGCAGGAGCCACCCTCATGAAGGGGGACAGTTCTGAGGATGATGCCCTGAGGCTGCGGGGTAGCTCTGCTGCCTGGTGCCTTCTTCCCCGAGCAAAGATCATCACATGCATGTTGCAAGGTCAAGGCTCCTTCAGGGCCCTGGGGTTAACCCCTCTCACGCTGCTGTGCCTCTCCTGGCCCTTTTTGATCAGCACCCACCTCCATGTGCAGGTGGTGATGCTGGATGAGCCGACGTCGGGGATGGACCCGGCTTCTCGCCGGGCCACATGGGACCTTCTGCAGCAGCAGAGGAGCAACCGCACCATCCTGCTCACCACCCACTTCATGGATGAGGCTGACCTGCTGGGGGACCGCATAGCTATCATGGCCAAGGGCGAGCTGCAGTGCTGTGGCTCCTCACTCTTCCTCAAGCGTAAATACGGTAAGGGAGCACAGGCAGGCTGTGCTCAATGTCTTCTCCTCACATGGGAATGGGACCCATCACTCTTTGTCTGATGGCTGCCTCTCCTGAAGCCCGTCACCACACTTGCTCCTGCATCGCGGCAAAGCCGTTGATGCTCTGGGATGCCTCAGCCTCCCTCTCTGCTCTGGCACCCCAGTGCCAGGCCGGCTGTCATTTACCCTCCTCTCCCTTCTCTTGCGGCTCTGCCCAGGGGCGGGATATCACATGGTGATGGTGAAGGAGCCCTACTGTAACCTGGGGGAAATCTCCCGCCTCATCTGTCACTACGTGCCCAACGCCACCATAGAGAGCAATGCCGGGGCAGAGCTGTCCTTCATCCTGCCCAAGGAGAGCACGCACAGGTAACGGTGTCGTCCCCTGCTCACCCTCCCCAGGTGGGTCCCCATGTCTGCCCACAAGAAAGAGCAGATGGTGGAGCCTGAAAGCTGCTCTTGGGGTGCTTTGTGCTGCAGGCAGCCCAGGAGCTGGATGCAGGTCCCAAACGAGCTGCAGGACCAACGTCTCATGAAGCATCTTAACTCCTTGCTTCTCTGTTCAGGTTTGAGGCCCTATTCACAGAGCTGGAGCAAAGGCGGGAGGAGCTGGGTATCGCCAGCTACGGCGCCTCGGTCACCACCATGGAAGAAGTCTTCCTGAGGTAGGCAGGAGGGAGGCTAGCCCCAGCGGGGTGTCAGCTGGTGGTGACCGGTCCCCGTGGGCTTCAGCAACAGCTCTCACTGGGTTTCACCACTTGGGGTTTGGCTTCCCCAGCTCTTCCCCAGCTCAGAATCCTGCCCGGGTCTGTATTTCATCACCCGCCTCCCCCTCCTGGCGCAGGGTTGGGAAACTTGTGGACTCTAGCATGGACATCCAGGCCATCCAGCTGCCTGCTCTCCAGTACCAGCACGAGAGACGCTCCAACGACTGGGCCATGGATGACTCAAGCAGCCTGAGCGGCATGACGGACATGACGGATGACAGCGGGGCACTCATTACGGAGGACTGCTCCAGCATCAAGCTCAACACCGGGGTGAGTGTGACTGGGGGTGCTGGTGCAGCGGGAAGGGTGAGAGAAGGCATGTGAAGGGGATTTTTTGGAAGTGGGGTTACAAGATAGAGCCTCCCCTATGGCTAGCCTCATTGTGCATGGTTTGGAAGATCAGATTGGAAGATGAAGTTGGAGTCCACAATATAGTGATAGGATGAGGTTTCAAACTGAAAGAAAGTGGGCTTAGATGAGATATCAGGAAGAATTTCTTCACTGTGAAGGTGGTGAGACACTGGAACGGTTGCCTAGAGGTGTTGTGGAAACCCTCTGCCTGGAAGTGTTCAAGGCCAGGTTGGACAGGGCTCTGAGCAACTTGGTCTGGTGGAAGGTGTCCCTGTTTGTGGTGGGGGAGATTGGAATGAGATATCTTTAAGGTCCCTTCCAACCCAAACCATTCTATGATTCTATGATATTTAGGGCAAGTTATTTTTAGGGATGTCAGGGTTGGTCACTGCCATCCTCTTCATGTTAGTCTTGAGGTCTGCAGAGATGCTCTTGAAGGTATCTCAGCCGATTTAATGTGGTTTTCACTCTGCCGTTGCAACATCGCTTGGGATTTCCAGCAAGGAGATGAGAAAAACCATCTTCCTTCCCTCGCTAGGCTTGTGTTTCAGATCCCTGGCAGCCCTTCATTGCCTGCTGCCTATGTGCCTGTGATAAATTTCCCTGTGCTTCTCAAGGGCATGTCTCAAAGGCAGAAGGGAGGAAGATGTTCCTGGGTTTAAAAAAAATGAAGGTACTTGCAGGGGCTGGGCTGGGAGCTCACAGGCTTCTCAGCTTTGGCAGGCAGCCGTGTTGCGGTAATCCTCTTTGTGAACCTCAAATGCTGAGAGGTGGAGGAAGGTAAAGGTCGTGGCTGAAGCTGCTTTTAACACCAAGATCCCAAAGTGACTGCATCCCGCTGGAAAGCTGCGGGGTTTGATGGGCTGCCCTTCCCAGGCTGGGCTGGAGAGCGGGCTGTGTGCAGGAGCTGGTTTTGGGGTCATTCCCCCCCATCAGCTGCTTGGGGTGACGGGGCCAGCAGGACTCACGTTGACCTGGCTTCTCCCCTCCCAGTTCTACCTGTGCTGCCAGCAGTTCTACGCCATGTTCATGAAGCGAGCCATGTACAGCTGGCGCAACTGGAAGATGGTGGCAGCGCAGTTCCTCGTGCCTCTGATCTTCACTGCCTTCGCCCTCGTCGTGGCCAAGACCTTCCCAGGACCCAGGGACTCTTCCTCACTGAGGTTGACACTGGAGCCCTACGGCCAGACCATCGTGCCTTTCAGCGTCTCGGCCGCCTCGGGTCTGTCGCAGAGGTTGGCGGAGCAGTACGTGGAGCTGCTGGATGCCCAGCATCAGTCACCGCTGGAGGTGGTGGGTGAGGGTTCACAGAGCACCCGCGGAGCTCTTGCCAGGGCCCTTGGTGTGGGTGGCTCGGGTCCCATTGGACATATCGCTTTGTATCCTCTCCCGCACAGAAGAGTCCCACGGTTGGCAGGACCCCTCCTTACCTGAGCAGAACTGTGTTGTCTGTAACCCCGTGTTTGTGGCCACCATCGGGGCTAGGGTGGGTCACCAGACCTAGGGCTGTTTGGGGTCTTTTCTGGTTGGCTCTCGTTAGCTCTCATGTGATGGAGCCTGCTCAACATGGCCATGATGCTTAGCAGGTGGCCTGGAGGAGTACCTCATCTCAAGAGCCTCCGAGGAAGGGGGAGCCTTCAACGAGCACTACATCGCAGCAGCCTCCTTCGAAGGAGCTGGGAACCGTACGGTGGTCACCGCGCTCTTCAACAACCAGGCGTATCACTCCCCTGCCACGGCCCTTATGCTGGCTGACAACGCTGTCTTCAGGGTGTTGGCAGGTCCCAATGCCTCCATCACGGTCACCAACTACCCTCAGCCCCGCAACATCACCGAGAAGGCCAAAGACCAGCTCATGGAGTACGTCTGCTGGCACGGTGCTTGCTTTCCTGCCGGTGCTCATGACTGGCGCGGGTGCAGAACAGTTTGGTTTTACTGGTGTCAGGCTGGAGCTTCTCAGACCCAAACGTAGCTGTAATTGTACTCAGGAGAGCGAAGCTGCGTAGATGACTTTTACCTGGCAGCCACGTCATCCCACTCACGTACCGGTGGCTGGGCGTTCCCCTCCAGATGCTGGGTGGAGTTGGTTTCCCCATGGGGTGCTCAGAGCAGAGGGGGCTGTATGGCCATACCCTCACAAAACCCTACACCCAGGTCTCTGAACTGCTCCTCTACTGACGGGGACATGTGTGGGACCTCATGAAGGTGGGGTGGAGGTCTGTGGTGTGCCAGGTGCTTGTCTCACCAAGGTGCCCTTTTGTCATGGGGTGTTCCTCCTGCGAGCTGGCTCTCCTTCACAAGAAGTGGGATGCGGGCTTCTTGTCCCCCATGTAGCCTCAGCGTCGGTTTGCCAAGCTGTCCCTGTCCTAACTGGCCCTACTGCTCTTCCCTCAGGGGCCAGACGGGGTTCGCCATTGCTATCAACTTGCTCTACGGCATGGCCTCGCTCGCCAGCACCTTCGCTCTGCTGCTGGTCAGCGAGCGGGCCATCAAGGCCAAGCACGTCCAGTTTGTCAGTGGAGTCTACGTGGTCAACTTCTGGCTTTCCGCCCTGCTCTGGGATATCATCAACTTCCTCATCCCTTGTGCTCTGATGCTGGTGAGTCTCCCCAGACATCCCGATACCTTCCTGGGGGTGGGAGCTCTGGGCGCTGCTCCTCTGGGGGAACTGGGATGTGTGTGGGTGTAGGGAGAAGGATGAGGCCACCGATATTGTCTCAGTTAGTTGAAAAGACCAGCAAGAAAGCTGTCCCTTGGTTCTCTTGATGGGTGGGTCATGGCCAACCAGCCAGGTCAGTTGACTGCAGCTTCTGGCACCTGAACCCTTGGGTGTGAGCACTAGAAAATCTCAGATACCTGGGAGCATGGAGAGGACTTGGCCAGATCTGCCCTTCTGCACCCTAGGCTGCACAAAGAGGGCTTCCCTTGGGGACAGGCACAGGCTTCTGGTAGGAGCCATCTCTGAGGGGTTGCTCAGGTCAGCGTGGTGCTGCCTGGGCCATCGAGACAAGGAGAACATCACTTGTGATCAAGGCAAATGTGTTTTCCTTGCATTGCTGTGCCCCAGGTGATATTCCAAGCCTTTGACGTGCAAGCCTTCACCCAAGACAGCCACCTCGTAGATGTGATGCTGATCTTCCTCCTTTATGGCTGGGCCATCATTCCCCTCATGTACCTCCTCAGCTTCTTCTTCTCAGTGGCAGCCACGGCCTACACCCGGCTCACCATCTTCAACATCCTCTCAGGCACGGCCACCTTCCTTGCAGTCACCATCATGAGCATCCCAGGTGGGTCCCGTGCCTGCCCAGCACTGCACCCTTCCGTCATCAAGAAAATCCGGCCCCTAAGGGGACTCTTCCAGTGTCCTCACACTAGCAAAAAAACCCTGTGACAGTCCATTCTCACCCACTGAACATGACAAGATCTGTTGGTTTTACTTCTGAACTTGCAAGTATCAGGATCTTTCTCTAAAACCCAACTAGTTCAAATCTGTTGATGCTCTTGTGCTCCTCTTTCAGAGCTGGGCTTGGTGGACCTCTCCAAAACCCTGGATAAAGTCTTTCTTGTCTTACCCAATTACTGCTTGGGCCAATGCATCAGTGACTTCTACCAGAACTACGAGTTCATTCAGTTTTGTACCTCCTCCGTTGAAGCCATCTTCATCTGCAAGGCCTTCAGTGAGTCTTGGTGTTGGTCCTCTCCTGCCCGTCCCACCGTAGCCTCACTAGGGGATCTCTGTGGGGTGGGTGGTGGAGCTGGGCCGTATCACGGGGCCTCTAACCCAAGCTGGGCAGTAGCTCCAGGTACCATTTTACAGCAAAGACTGGGCAGCGTTTGACGCTCATAGATGGTCCAATGAAGGAAGCTTTTCCTTATTAGTGATACAGAGGAAAATGTGGGCTGGGGAAAATTTCATGGACAGGTAAAGAAATCCCAGTCCCGAGAGTGATCTCCTCTGCGTGCCTCCAGCAGGCATCTTCTGCCAGATTCCCTCCAGACATCAATCCCCTTGTGGGAAGCGTTGGAAGGAGCTGTGGGCAGGGAGCCCAGTGTGGGCTGGGACGGAGATGAGCTTGGCAAAGCTTTGGGCTCTCAGCTTTCGCGGGAGGTGATCTGCCCCTCCCCAGAGTGTGGATCGATCCAAGTCTTGATTTTGTTCCCTCCCTGCTCAGATGTCACTTACCAGATGAACTACTTCTCCTGGGAGACGCCTGGCATCGGACGATACCTGACCTCTTTGACCATCCAGGGTTTCTCCTTCCTCTTCCTCCTTTTCCTCATTGAGACAAACCTCCTCTGGAGACTCAGGACTTTGGTCTGTGGCATCTGCAGGCGGCGGAAATGGGTGAGCTGAAGCGTGTGGGAGGGAGAAATAAGGTGCCCTCCAAACTGAGGCTGGGAGTCCCCTGCGAGCAGGAGACAGGCCCTCTTCACCTAAATCATCTTGCCAGGGAGCATCCCTGAGCAGGTTGCTTGGAGGGGCCGATCCTGTTGAGTAAAGGGAGTGGGGAGTCCCCAGAGGTGGCTGATTGAAGGAATGGATCTTCCCTGGGTGGGGGGCACTGGAGGAACCCTTGCCCCCCAGCAGCCAGGTGACAAAGAGTGTTTTTTCTCCCCTGACTTTAGGTGGCACTGCTGAACAGGGTGTCTGCGCTGCCAGAGGACCGGGACGTGGCAGATGAGAGGAAGAAGGTTTTGGAATCGCCACCAGAACTGCTGTCATCTCTCAGCAGCCCTCTGGTCATCAAGGAGCTCACCAAGGTGAGGAGAGCACAGCCCTTCCTGAGCATCCAGCTGCCAGCTGAGCCGTGGTCCTCATGGGACTGGCAAAGCTGCTGCTCTGTGTGCCGTCGGGCCTGGCACGGCTTGTGTGTTGGTGTCCACCAGGTCTATGACAGCCGGGAGTCCCTGCTGGCAGTGGACAGGATCTCCTTGGCGGTCAGCAAAGGGGAGTGCTTTGGCCTTCTCGGCTTCAACGGAGCGGGCAAAACCACTACCTTCAAGATGCTGACTGGTGACGAGAGCATCACGTCAGGGGATGCCTTTGTGGATGGCCACAGCATTCTGGCCAACATCAAGAAGGTACCGAGGGCTGCAGGATAATGTTCCGAGCAGTCTAGTAGGGCCAGGCCATCTTGCATGTGCCTCTGAGGAGAACACGGTTGCCAGGGGTGGAGGTGATATCCCAGGGACGTTGTATCCTTGCCTGGCCCAGCTCCTCCTTATCTGGCCATGTGGCAGCAGTCCACTCTCCACTGGGATGACAGATGTGAAACAAATGGAAGCCAAACCTTGCGAGGGGTGGCCAACAAAGAATTTAGCTCCGTAGTTGAAAATGGGAAACATATGAGTTGGCTGTCACAGTCAGGTGACCCTCTCTCTACAACAAGCAGGTCAAACCTTTCCAGACCCCTGCTAGAGGTCTCCTTGTTGGGAACTGGCCACCTTGTTTGGAAAAGCAGGAGATGAGCAGAGGTCAGGCCAGGTTCAGTCCCTAGATATCTCTGCTGCTGTTTCAACCCCAGATAACATCAGACTTGGAGAACATGGGGAGGGTCTGCCCTGAAAGCATGCCCCTACTTGCATCTTCCCCTGGGACCTTTTGTCGGGTCCCCAGAGGAGACGAGGGTGTGGAGAAGGTACAGCCCCTCCAGTGCTTCACTTCTCCTGAGAGCCTGGGCCACCTCAAAGGGCCCCTCACCATGAGGAACCAGCTTGGGAAAGGTGGTGTAAGACCACGCAGTTGCTGTCCCCGCCAGACCAGCTGCTCCAGCAATGGGGTGAGAGTTTCACTCTCATTTCACCCATGGTTTTGGACCTGCAGCTCAGTTCTGAGCAAAACAAACCCAAACCTTGCAGAGGTGCAGGAAAGCACCTTCTGGCTCGGACACGACCTTGCAGAGACCTGTGAGCTCATCCCTGTTGGATTCCTCTTGCCCCAAGGTCCAGCAGCGGATCGGCTACTGCCCGCAGTTCGATGCCCTCCTGGACCATATGACAGGCCGTGAGACCCTGAGCATGTATGCCCGCCTGCGGGGCATCCCCGAGCGCTACATCGGCAGCTGCGTGGAGAACATGCTGAGAGGGCTTCTCCTGGAGCCCCATGCCGACAAGCTCGTGAGGAACTACAGGTGAGAGGAGAGGTGGAGATCGCCCTGCCCCCTCTGCTCTATGGCCTTTGGGGTTCTCCCTGTGCTCACGTCGGGTCTTCTGTCCCCGTTCCTGTCTCCTGCCGCAGCGGGGGTAACAAGCGGAAGCTGAGCGCCGGCATCGCCCTCATTGGTGGTCCCCCTGTGATCTTCCTGGATGAGCCCTCTACCGGCATGGACCCCGTGGCCCGGCGTTTGCTCTGGGACGCAGTGACACGGACGCGGGAGTGTGGCAAATCCATCATCTTCACATCCCACAGGTGACAATTCTCCGGGCAAGCCTTGGCATGGGAGATTGGGAGGATGGTGGGGTCCAAGGGATGGGACCCACCTCCAGAGCCTGGTGGGTGGGCACTGCCTGCAGCCAACTTTACCTAGATCTCCCTCCTCTGTAAGCCCAGAGAGGAGAGAAACCACCTCCAGCCCCTTCCCAGAAACTTCTGCTGATCTG